GAGAGAGAGAGAGAAAGAGAAAATGTTACTTGATTACTTTTATACAAAATAAAAAATATATTTTAATTTAAATTTGTATAATTTAAATAAATTATATTGAAATTTTAATATATTTAGAATGAATAAATATAATTTAAATTTAGCTTCAGCGCATTATTTATCAACTAATAACAAGCATTTAAATTGTTTTTCAATTATCGTCTTTTATTTATCATTTATCTATGACTTGTTTCAAAATCATGGTATGCATCATATTATATATTACATGCATTATTTTAAAGTATATTTATGATTGCATTTCAAATATTTATATATTTATTTATGCAAAGATTAACAATTATATTTAAACTAATTTAAAATTATTATATAAAATATAATATATATTATTATATTATTATATAAAATTTAATATATATTATTATATAAATATTATATATTATTATATAAAAAAATTTGATTAAGATATGAGTGAATTAAGATATGAGGCCTGCCACATGTTAAAATTTTAAAGTCTCGAATTAGTGATAAAAGCAAAAGATGATATAACTATAACTAAAAAATAATAATTATAAATAATAAGAATAATTAAAAATAAAGTAAAAATAATTAAATGAAAAAATAATTACATAAAATGATTGTTGTTAACTAAATCGTTGAAACTAAATTTAAGTCATATTTATTGATTCCAAGTATAATAAAATTTTTTTCGTATATCAAAACAGTATTAACTTGTATAATTTCACACAATAAAGATAAAATAATTATGGAATTTTTACATATGTGACAAACATCGATTTTGATATATGATATTGTTAACATAATTAATCCCAAGATAATTATTTTTTATTAATCCTAGTTGTGTTATGTAAAAAAATATATTTATATATGTGGTATATCATCTTGTCTAAAATACGCAACATTTTGCAATAAAAAGAATCTTTACAAAAATATAATAATCTAATTACGCTTTTTTTCTACATACGATACCTTCGTGCGGTTTCAAGCAGTTTTGAGCATCCAGAAACTTCCAAAACGCCTTTACTTTTTCTTGCTGACTTACGCTGTTCTCTTTGACAAACGCAAATTCCATATAAGCTTCATCATGTTTCGAATTCATTTTGAAACCACGTGGCAAACGCGTATAACTAGCCGTTAGACGTCACTTCCGCTCTCGAAATCGCGCATCTAGTGAAATCGAATCTCGATTTAGTTATAATCATTGTTTGGTAAAGACGATTCCGTCATCTAATAAAATACCATTGTGGATAACACATACTTTTCAAAAATAAGAATACTTTTTTTTAAAATATATCAAAAATATATTACATATATGTGTATATATATATATATAAAATTCTTTATCTATTAACAATAATAATATAAAATAAAAAAAAATAATAGTAAAATTTTTAATAAGTAGAATTTTTTCATCATTAAAGTAACGTATGTATTTAATTATTGCCATTGGCAAGCAATTCTTAGCGAATCTCTTTGTTTACATATGTATACATGTCACGACAATTTTAAGCAATAATACTTTTTATTATTTCTTAAGCCGCATTACCGATCGATTATCGAATAATTATCACATTAAGAGCAGTCGCAAATAAAAGATCTAAAAAGAATTATGACGTGGAATAAGTCGGGATGAGAGATATCCGAAGATATTTTTCTGACATTTCCCAGAAGACGTCTTGAAAATTTTAAACGCCTCTTGGATGACTTCATAACTTCCTTCTCTGGGAATTGGATGACGGATGATGTCATTGCCCCGAAGAGCCACTGAGCGGCGCGGCGCTGATGCGTGGGACCAGTGAGGCGCTCAAGATGGCCGTCACGTACATCTGATCGGAGGTGTGTATGCGAAATTTGACGCCGATTTGACGTGACGAGGGTGGGCCGTGCACCTCGTGCCGCTGGCATGGTGATCGCGCGGAGATAACCCGACCCCCGACATCGATGCGGACCGTCCTGGCCGTCGCCGTCGATGGTTGTTCCTGTCCCCGCGGCCGCCGGCGGCTCGCACTGAATCATGTTCGGCAAGAAGCTCCATGTAGACGTCAAGAAGTCGACGCTCAAGATCCAGGACGTCAAGAAGGACAGCGCGACGCGATTCAAGCATCTCAAAATTGTCCTAGGTGAGGACCGAGCGACGGTGACGGCGCCGCCGACTGACAGGCCGCCGTAGGCCAGATCGCTATTTCGCGGAAGGAGGATGATCGCATACCGTATTTATTAACTCCCACGCGTGCTGGCGGAGACTCCTCAAAGGTGGACAAGTTGTTTCCAGTTAGGATGTTCTAAAACGTTCTTCTACATTCGGATCCCGCGTTCACAGTCTGCTTTGTATCGTTGTATTCTTTAATCAGTCGTATTTTTTAACTTTTACTTCTCGTCTGGGAGAATGTTGTGGGAGAATGTCAATACGTCATTCTTTGACGTCCCCTCATTGCCGAGGGAAAATGATTCACTTCACGCGACTCGTTTGAGACAGAAAATGACAGTTGAGGAACATTGAAATTAATTGTTAAATGGAACGCTTGAAATTATTATTCTGTTATTAGTCAATAATTAATTCAATTGACAAAGAATTTTATTTGCAGTAAAATTCAAATTATATAAAATTCTTTTTAATCTTTTATTTTTTATTTCTGTTAAATCTAATTAATTATTTTATCTAGAATATATCTTAAAAACAATAACATAAAAGTATAAATATTGTTGAATGAATTAATCACAAGTTGGTCAAAATTGCTAAATAATTAATAAGATTTTACAAGTATTAGTAATTTTTACATATAACTATTAGTACTTTTTTAGTATGTAAAGGTATCTCTTCCTAGCAATATTTATAAATCAATTATACAGAAATTTTAAAAGACATGCTTTTTATGTGCACTTCTAAATATACTTTTTAGAATATTTGACAGATTTTAAAAGCAAAACTACAATCAATATCTTTTAGACAGATTTTATAAAAATATTAAAAAATATATATTTTATGTCTGAGCTATCTAATATAGTAAAAATGTAATATAGTAAAAACTTGTTACATCATTTGTTTGTTGCATGCTCTAGTTTAAAGAGAAAAGGATTTAAATCCAAGTTATAAGATCGTGGTTTCACAACGTTGTAAGAGAGGTAGTCAATATCTAATCACCAAACCGCCTGACCACATTGACCAACTTATGGCCTCTATCTTCAGCTAAAGTTACATTGTCGTTATACGTTTCATATATTTTTATACATCTACATATGTCGTTAATAAAACTTTCCTACAACTTTAAATACTTTGCACATTTTTCTATGTATATATGTCAATAGATATATCATGCTTATAGAAAATATTTCTATTTTATATAGATATATAGATTTCTATTTTATATTTTATATAGAAAATATTTTTATTTTATTTTATGTATATATTTATATATCCTGCTTATGATATATGTTTATATTATACATTTCATCTTTTTGTCTCTGTCCTCTCCCTGTTTCTTAGAATATACATATAAGGGAAAGAAAAGTTTTGCCATGCAAACATGTGACATCCAGAACCAGTCATGACGTAATAACATTTCCACACTTCTCTCTGTACAAGGCATATGTGTCACGAGGGAAAGTTTTCTTCCCTATTTAATCGATACACAAATTACATTTATAAATATTATATAATTTATAAAAGAAATATTTGCTAATTCAAGCATGTTTTTGTATTAAAGAAAATGTGGATACTGATGAGGCAAAAGGCTTTTTTGAAGGCAACTTCAGCCATGTGTATTTCATCCTATATGATTGTTTCGTATCTGCTGAAGCCAATCTTCGACAACGCGGTAAGTAGCAAGTTGTATTTATTGTTATTAAAGTGTAATGTACCAAATGAAGCTAACTGTCTTATTACTGTATAACTTTAAAAGTTTCCATGCTTTAATACATATTGCATAATTACATTGAATGTAATTTAACAATAACATTGCCTTCAAAATTATATATTTTAAATATTAACCATAATATTCACCCATTATTATTTTATTATCATCTATTTCATTTCTTTCCATTCTGCTGCCAGAGCTTTCCTTCCATATTGGTAAGTCACATATCACACATATTACTCTAACTCGATTTTATTGCATTTGATTATTTTTTCCATTATTAACTTTTGTGATTGAAATTTTATGAAAAATTTGTGTAAATATCTATTCTCTCATTAAATTTATTTAAGTATTTGTCACAAGTATTTTTTATATGACTTAAAGAAAACCAATCTGCACTTTTTTTTATAGTGCATAAGGCACACAGGGAAGAATTGGAACAAGTATTGCAACTTCTGGAGAAAGTTTTAACGCTTCTGCCTGAGCTGCTTAACAAACGATGGCAGTGTCATAGTTTAGCACGGATTTTGCAAAAACTCTTGCATCCTGGTAATAGTTGGAAACTTCGTAGACAAGCTATAAGGTATGTAGTAATTGCTTAAAATATATATGTTTATACATGTTTGTAGTAACATGTAATAATCCCACTGATATTTTAGGTATTTTATTTTATGGTATCAAGCTCTTGGCGAAAATGCTCCCGAGCATATACATCAGATGTTCGCCAGTTTAGTGCCAGGATTTCCACCGCATCAAGCATCGCCTTATAAATGTGATCGTAAAACAGATGGCAAGAAAGAAAAACTCGCGAAAGCAGCTAATTCTGCTGAAGAGAAGGATAAGAAAGAATTTTATGATACGCAACTTGGCCAAAGTACTTTTCATGATAATGGATCGAATCAATGTCCTATCAGTCAAGTTGACGGCGGGCCTATTTTACCACCGCAAAGTGGAGAAAAGCCATTGGACAATGAAACTGTTAGGTTTTTGGAAGCATTGCTTGAATTTATGGTTACTCAGGTATATTATTTACCCCCTTACCTACAGATATTTATCGAAGTTTGGACATAATATAAAAATAATATAAAAATGATTTACTACTTTAATAACATTATATAGGTGGTAAAAGTAGAATGGCGGGATAAATCTACACGGCAGCATAAAACTTTTCAATTTTTATTAGAACGTTTTAAAGTAACGTATCTTCGTCATATTTGTCCGGAGTTTAATGATAACTTTTCGCTTTACAAACCTAATCTGGAATTACCTACAATGCGTAAACCAATGAATCAAAATCAGAATAACTATGTACTCTGTAAAGTTGCTCTAATCAAATGGATCGCAAGCTTCACGCATGTCGCTAGAAAAGATGGACTTTTCGCACATCTTTCACAAAGGTAATTCAATATCTGCTTATTTCTGATCTATTTTAAATTATGACTTTTATCGCGAACACCGATTTGCAGTACAACACCAAATGAGGAAAATGCTGAATCGGAATTACGCCGTGTGTCGGTGTATACTCAAAATTCTGCGGATTCGAATTTATTGTCACCCGAATCAGTTATATCCCAGCAAGATAGTCAAAATCAGGAAGATAGCGCCGTTTCGGCCATGTTAGTCAGAGAAGTTTTATATGGAAATAGAGATAATGTAAACTTTGTACACGAATTGTACAGGCAGGCATTTCTTTTGGATTTCAATCATGCGGGAGCTATAAGAAAAGCTATTGCTGTTTATAAAGATTGGATTCAAATGAATGTAAGTTTGAAATATTAGAAAATTATGTATTGATGTAAATTGATGTAAATTGATATTTATATATTTTGTAGGAAATTCCTCCGTTTATGTTGGAACCGCTAGATGGTCATAAAGATCGGGATATGGAAGAAAGTTTAAGAAAAGAAGAAATGGAGAAAAGTCCGTCGGATAATTATCGTCAAACGAGATTAAGGAACGATTCTTATCTAGGCGCTATACACCGGGAAAATTTGTTTATTAGAGCAGGCTTACAAAATGTTCTGCAAGTTTTTATCACGCAAGCATCAAACGTATTTTTCTTAGAGAATTCGGGGCCGAATGCATCTTTGACATTACTTGAAGAACAGACAGACAGTTGTAAGAGAGTCCTGAATGTGTATCGATACGTTGTTATGCACTCCAGACTGGAACCAGCAACTTGGGAACAGTTACTTAGGTAATTTCATTCGCGATTTACTATCTTTCTTTAATTAATGTTTTCTTGCAATGATTAATTTTTTTGAATTTATTAGAGTGTTATTGCAAATCACGTCGCTCGTTTTGAGTGAGAAATCTTCTCGCCACAAGCATCAGGAAAGTATCGGTGGAAAACTTGCACCTGCCATATTTCAAACATTAATTGTTACATGGATTAAGGCTAACTTAAATGTGGTTATTTCTACCCAATTATGGGACCAGTTTCTAGAGGTGTTAACATCATTAACACAATGGGAAGAATTAATTCGAGAGTGGGCGGTGAGTATGTGACGAATATCTCGCGAGTTCTGACTCATAATTGTAAGATATTATTAATATTTTTCTTTCACCTATACAGAAAACTCTGGACACGCTGACGAGAGTATTAGCAAGACACGTATACAACTTGGATTTGAATGATTTACCTTTGGACAGACTCAGCGAACAAAAGACAAAGAAGCGGCGTGGGGTTGGAAGTCGTGCGGCGTCGACGGGGAGTGTACAACCACCTCGGAAAGGTAGTATTGATCAAGAAAACAATACCGCACCGAAAGAAAGTGTCGTGGGTATGTAAGATCTATAAGATAAAATTGTTAAATTATTTTATCTTGTTGCAATTTAATTTAAAAAATATTTTTCAACTTTGATTACAGATCATCCCCTGCGCGATATGAGGAAGGTACGACCATTACCGCGCAGTGCGAGTGATAATACTATTTACGGTGGCAAAGCTCGTGCAAAGCTGCAGAGACAGCGAACACATACGATGCATAGCGGTATACCCGGTAGGTGGATGAATGTAATAATTCATAGTGCATTAGCCGCAGTTCTTTTTCTTTTTGATTTTTACTTTTTGGCGAGATCTTCGACGATGCCTTTGTGTTGCTGTGTGCGCAATTTATTTATAACTGTGTCTCTTACTTGTTTTTTTTTTTTTTTTGCTTTGGCACTGACACCAGGTTAAAAATAACTTCTCTCCGTTACCGTACAGACAGACAGTAGTTTCACTCCCTCCCGTAGATTTGTCATATTTATAACGTAGCGCCCATTGCTTGTCCTAATTTTTAATCGACATGCCATTCATAAGATCAATTTTAACTAAATCAATTTTAACTGGTTTGCTGTTGAATACATTTCTGCAGTGTTTGTGTCCTACTTGATTAAGTATAAACAATTTCCACACGTGCAGTACTCCCCCTATCGA